ATATCATCAATATCATCTATTAATATGGCGCTTCAATTCTTTAAAGCTACTAAAAAGAACAACTTTTTTAGAACCACATAATAGGATCTAGTCATAGGCATCCAAAACATTCCACCACTCAAATTAAGTGTGCTAGAATTTTGAATATGACAGATAACATGATATGTCTTAACATCTTCATTACCAACCTAACCTATCAGTCATCTTTTCATGCGTGGAACCTCGATAGGAACATAATAACATGAAATAGTGATGATCTGCCTTTTCAGTCCTCAAAGTCCCAAATCAAGAATGAAATAGCTAATTGCTAGAAGTTAGAGCATTGATTGTACCTGTTGCATAAGAGTATTCAACACAACGGACAGGAGCATCATGGCGTCCTAAAATATCCTCCTTGCCAGAACCAAAGACAAACCTGAAACAAGTTAATAAAACACAATTAACCCAGTTAAAGTAGCATCTGTCTGTCACTAAATGTGCAAGATAATCACTATTGACTACATAAAAGATTAGGCATTCCCAAACTCCTCAAAGTTTCTCAGCAAGTCCATCATAAAGAAAGAATATACAAATGTACAACGACTGCATCTTCTAAAACTATAATGTTTGAATATTTTTAATGACATAACAGATTAGGCAAAGTTGAACCAGTCCAGGATTAATCATTCGACCAAAGAAATTATTCACAACCAAACAGAGAAAAAAAGACCTTTCAAGCATATCAAAGTTGGAGAAGCATTCCAAACAACATTTTGGAAAATGCTTCAGCTCTAACCGCCTTATCTCCAGTAGCATGTTTTAATACTATGGAAGAAAATGTAAGCGGCATCGTCAACTATCATTCTTGATCTTAAACCAAGAAGAATAAGAATTGAAAGAAAACATAATGCATAAAGATTTTTGGTAAACCGACAGTACTCTTCCCATTAGCCTTTATATATATAAACTTAAAAAGAAGATTTTCGACTGTCATAGAGAAAGCTCTTCCAAGTTCGAACCGTCTCTTTTTCTTCACTAAAATGCATCAGGTTGTTAGTTTTGGTTTTAAAAGACTGCTAATGCAATTTACCAAACAGAACTACTCAAAATCAATAGAAAAATATTTAAAAAGTTATACACCAAATAGCATCAAGTTAATTGGTCCATTACCAATTATTGGCCATATCAGAAAATGCCGATTATTATGTATCAATATTAAACCATGAGTGCAACTATCACCATGACTGCCAACCCCATTATGCCTACCTGCATCATGTCACCATCATCACCATCACTCAACCATTCTTATCAGCATCACCATCATCATTGCCCCACCAACGCCAATACCACTGTACGATCACCATTGTCATAATAGGTGACATCATTGTCACCATTACAACCGCTACCACTACCATAATACGCCACAATTGCCATCACAGCATCCCTTTGTTTACAACAGTTCAACGTTGAGAAGAAAACCCAAGACGCAGTTTTCTAGCTTGAATAGGCAAATTCTCACTCAAAAAATTGATATAAAAATAATTGTTTTAAGAAAGTAAATGTCTCCCAACACTAAAATCAGAAAATCTGTTGAGTGTCGAACATACCCTATAAAAATAAATTCATCAAAATGATGCACATGATAGATGGATGAAGGATATAAGGTTTTATTATAGGACCAGTAACAAACTTGACAATACAACACCAATTAAGCAAAAATCTTAATGAAAGAAAAAATATGGTTCATACTCACATGTTTGCACACTTCAATAATAAAATGACACAATGCATCATCTTCTGCTATGTTTAGATGAAAAAAGAAGATTAAAACCATATAGCTAATCAGTGATTTAAAAAGCGCTAGGCGCCAAGGTCCAAAAACGCCCGAGGCGCTAGGCACTCGCCCAGACGCTCGCCCGAGCGAAGCGAGGCGCTAAAATATAAAAATATATAATATAATTAATAAATATAATTATTTAAATAAAATTATGCTATTAAATTAAAAAAATTGGGTATAAAATCACAATAAATAAATAAATAAATCATAATAGTATACTTTTTATTTTTTAAATAAAAAATATACTATTAAATAAATAAAAATTAATAGTATTAAAATCAAAATAATATATTATTAATCTAATAAATAAAAATACTATTATTAGTATACAGTTAGCAGTATACTGTTAATATATTGTTAACAATATAGTGAGAAGAGTGTGAGAAGACCGAGGCTGCTGAGGCAACGACAATGATACCAGGCAACAGTCGTAGCAGGAGCAGGAGCGGGAGCGGCAACGGCGGGAGTGGCAAGTGACAGCGGGAGTGGGAGCTACAAGCGATAGCGGGAGCGACAAGCGATAGCGGGAGCGGCGACAGCAACGGCGAGCAACGACAGCAGCGATTGTGGTAGCGACAAGCTGCGATTGTGGTAGCGGTGAGCAGCGATTGTGGCAGCAGCGAGTAGCAACAGTAGCGGCGAGGAACGACAGTGGCAGTGGCAGCAGAGAGCAACAATAGCGGAGAAGAAATCTCGGTGGAAAAATCACGTGTTAGGGTTGGGGAAGTCGGGGAAATCACGAGAGGGTGCCTGATATCGGTGATTTAGTTGGTTCAATTGAACCAACTAAAGCATCGGAGACCAACCAGACCTAAAAATCTAGTTCGGTCGCCTGGTTTAACCCAGGCGCTCGCCCGAAGCGCCCGACGGCTGGGCTCGGGAGAGCGCCCAGGCGGCGCCTCTTTGAAGCGAGGCGCCTGGACATGAAGCGAGGCACTCGGGCCTCGCGAGGAGGCGCCTGGACATGAAGCGAGGCACTCGGGCCTCGCCTCGCCTCGCCCGAGCGCCTATTGAAATCACTGTAGCTAATAGAGTAATATACAGTAAGACATTCATACTGCAACTCAGCTCAGATTAGCCTCTCCGCACAAAGGTAGGTTTCCAACATATGAAGTCACCAAAGAATTTTGAAATATTCTATGCATGACATATAAAGGACCATGAGGATCCTCAAATAAGCAATTTCAACTAATAAGACAAGCTGAGAACTAAAATGAAGACAGTCGTTAATATTAGGTCGCATTTACAACAAGTGCATAGGATTGCAAATTGCTAATGTTAACCGAAAAAACATTAATTTTTTTTCTAAGAAGAAAATTCAGCAAACATGATTTTGAAGTGACAATAATTCTTAGGCCAACTATCTATAATTTAGCAATGTAAAGTGTGTACTTCCCATATGAGATTTCGGAACTAATAGATAGTATGTCTCCTTGCAGAACTCCAGAATAGCATGTTTTTATCAAGAATTGGGGAATCATACGATTAATAAATTTTGTTATGAAATGCTCAGAGACAAGTAGAATAAAAAGTGGTCAAGTGCATGAGACTCCCGCCAACATGAGTTTATGGGGGGGTCAAAGAATGCAACCTCATTCCTACAAACAAAAAGGTTGTTCTCCGTGGATCTAATTCTGGCCACCAAAGTTGTGAAGGAGCAGCATTATCATGGTGCCAAGGCTCAAAATGAAAATAGAAAAGCCCCTTTAGAAAAAGAACTTGATTAGCCTTGTAACCAATCATATAACTCGATCTACTTCAAAGTAACCATGATGCTCGAGCATAGAACCACATTTTGACTGCCATATAGACAAAGAGCACTTGGCAGTAATCCAGCACCCTAACGCTCCAGATTAGCGAACCACCAGCATCTGAAACCCTAAAACCACTAGTGCCGACCTTATTAATATTCCACCGGGCTACTAGAAAAACGCCATAACGAAACATAAAACGAGTGCTTGGTCATTCCTGAAATTGTCTATAAACAGAAAGAGCAACATACACAAGCATCAGAGTAGCTAACTACCACAAAAGCAGCAAGAGAAACATAATGCACCCGGAGAACATTCCTTGCACACCTTCTGACCATATGGTCGGCACAGGCACTAAAGCCCGATGAATCGTCATGGAAGCAGCAATCGAGGACAGGGCCAACATGCGCGAACTCCCCCTTGAGAGCGTCCGCGCCGGCATCGTAAAGACGAAGACTCTGAGCACAAGGGTATCAGTAAGCCCTACTGCGGGTGACCAAAGAGATAAAAGACCAAACCCTAGGGAGATGAAGTCAGGGTTTCGTCGGGGCGGGAGAATGGGGATTGCAGGAAAGGTTTAGGGACATACCCTGTCCCACGACGAGACGAGGAGGAGGTCGCTGTGGTTGGAGAAGCGGAGGTTGGAGATGCCATCGGAGGGTGGGTCGGAGAGCTCCCTCCCGCCGGTGGCCGGAAGAGTGGCGGCGCTCATAGCGGCCGGAAATCGGAGGGAGGGTCAGGGGTTTGACGAGCGGCGGAAGCAAACCGCGATCTGATGGCGAAAGGAGAAAAGGGGCGAATGAAAATGGACGGAGCGATTAGCAATCAGAGTTTGCGGGCAGCGAATTCAAAACCAGCGCGGTCGGTGTCATTTCAATAGGGGCTGAGGGTTTTTTTGTCTTATTATCCGGATGTATAAATGTACATAATGAATTCATAGTAGAATTCATGATTAATCCATTTGAATCCTCTCCGTTCTTCATGTAGACTTTGACATGATTTCGGATCCCATGATTTCAGTTTTGGAATTGAGTTCCTAAATTTTTGAGAATTGGCACCAAATCATTTAGGATCGGAATCGATTGCTAAAATCATAATACCTTAGCATTGTGATTTTTTAATTATTTTTAATTTTAAAAAAAAAATAAAAAATCAATTATTCTAACTATAACGGATGGTTTCGATTCTCAAAATTAATAAATATAATTAAATCGTTTTATCTATTTAATTTGGAACCAAAGAACCGTCGAGTCAATTCGATTTCGATACGATTCCGATTCGAATCGAACCGGTCAAGACTATCATCACGGAGCAATAACGAAGGCACTAGACATCACGGCCCTACGATCTGAAATGAACGCGTCGATGACTGCTAATATTGCTTCACGTATCACGTCCTTTGAGATCAAAACACACCGCCTCTTTGTTTGTTACCGCTCCACCGTGACTCGGACGCGGACGCACCCGTCTCGTTTCGCATCCGCTCGGGCGTCTCTTAAACTGTCCTTCTCCCCGATCTGTTCGCCTCGCGCGACCCTTTTGATCCAATCTAAAATCCAAGGCCTCCTCTGATCCATTGAGCTCCCCGTTCACGCCGCTCCTCGCGGGATCTTCGATCGATGCGATGGTTGTCTGCAAGTGCCGCAAGGTACCCGGATTCAATTCCGTTTATTTTCTTGTTGCCCTCGCTGAGCGCCACGGTATTGTACTATGCGTTTCATATCGTCATTTTTCGGTTCCTCGATTCGTTTCGAATCGAATTTTGGAACTCGGATGCCAGTTGCTTTGAGAATTTAATTAGTCTTTCGGAATTTCGAGATATAACAGCGGCTTTCTGGTCGAATTCGTACGTACTAGCATTGGATCTATTAGGCATTTATTCGATTCCACTAGGTTTTCATTATCATCGGAAATTTTCGTCATCATCGATTTGGCGGGGCGTAAACTTTAGCTTAAATTCAGGTAGTTTTATATTGAGTAAGAGAAGAGGTTGTGCAAAATCAGGATTTCGACGGATTTGCTTCTCTTGATTCTTGAGTTTCTTTCAGTAGGTGAAGTCCCATTTGTTTTCGAAGGTTAAAAAACGTTTTCACGCTCAATAATCGAAGCAGGATTAATTTGTTTTACTTTATATTCTTAGAAGCGGTTTTGATTCTCGGTCGTGTGGTTTTCTTGAAACTAATGGAGCATTAAATTTACAGGCAACCAGGCTTTATTGTTTCGTCCACAAGCTTCCTGTTTGCGGTCAATGCATTTGTTTCCCAGAACATCAAATCTGCGTGGTAATCATCTAAATCTGTTGTACTACGAGTAGAGACTTATTTTCTCCTGCCTGGACATTTGAAGTACAAACGATATGGTGCTACCTTACTGACTGCAACTAGGGGTGTAAACAAGAATGTCATTAGTCGCATCTGGACATTTTAATAAGATTATTTAGTGTAGTATTAACTGTTAACCTTGATATCTATCTTGCATTTGATAGCTTGGTTAGCATAAGTCATGTTCCACAAGGACTTTTGATGGCAGCATTACATACTAAATTCTTCACACATGTAATTTTTTTAGAGATGTTGCATTGAGGATTTAACAATTTAGCACTGGAGCACAGATTATTCTTCCGGGCAAATATCCTTGGTGGTTACACTACATAAAAAACTACGGTATGTATGGTGATAAAGGAAGTGGAGAGCAATAAGCAAAACAAGCATGACAACAATAGCAATAAAAACGTAAACTAATAAAGTAAATATAATACTTTCATTCCAAAAGTGTTAGAAAAAGGGTAAAAAAGATCTAGCAACAATACCATGAAATACTAACAATACCACATCTGTACATTGGAACAACAACTATATTGATTAGTAATAATATATAAATGATTTTTTGTATTCTGAACAGTACACTAAGGCTTACCGTGCCATTTCTCAACTGGACTTGATCCAATAAGGTTCCAATATGGGTACCAGTGTTGATATTTAAACCCATGGCTGCAATCACCTTCTTCGCAAAATTTATGCTTATCAAGTGCTCGATGTGAAGACTGAAACAACTGTTCGCATCAAATATGCCCATGGCATTACTGTTCTTAAATGTTTTTCTGTGTCTAAAAGACTTCATGCAAGGTTCCAAATATTGGATCTTGTTTGAACTTCTTCTGGAAATTCTTCATAAATTAGAGCATATAATTGCTATAAACAATTGGGGATCAGGAGCAACTGGGAATTTCAGTTTGTTCTAAACTTGAAGCCTTTGGACTTGCAACAAATTTCTCAATTGGACCTTTTGCTTCTTTTGGTAGCTAGTCACTACTTAGAGGAACCAGTCCTTTTGATTTTTCACTTTCATCGACAAAGTATGCTCCAAAGGAAAGCTATATATCTGAATACCTATATTTGTTGAATTTTAGTCATTGATATTTTGATATGAAATATTTTTATTATCCAATAGCTATTGGATGAAAATGATGTTGCGCTCACATTATTCATTTACCAATGTGTTTTTTTCTTGAGCCTCTAATCTCATAAAATTTCATACTAACTGTAGATTCTTTATTTTTTTGTTCTTTAATTTTTTTATAAAATGCTATCTAACCAATTTTATTGTTCTATTACTTACACATTTTACTGTTTCCTACCAATTTTATAAAATCACTGATTCTTTCTTAATCTTTAGGTAAAAAAATATTCTGATTGGGTAGTTGATGGGGAGTATAACTGGCCCCCTATATGCTCTTTGTGCAATGCTGCATTGGAAGCTGGAACCGATCAAACTACTCGATTGGGTTGCTTGCGTATGTTGCTTCTCACTTTTACATGTGTACTTTTTCTAAAAAGAACAAGTTACCTCAATTCACAATATATTAACTTCTCTGTGTTTGTCTCATTCAGATCTTATGCACACACATTGCTTGGTCTCACATATTAAAAGTTTCTCACCTCAAACTCCACCTGCAGGATACTTGTGTCCTGCATGTTCTTCCCCTGTAAGTTATTGTAGCAAAATTTTGAATTGTTACATTTTGTTGGTTGCAGAACAGACTTCAGTTTGCAAGTGATGGATTAAGAGACTGTTTTGTTTTTCTTAAATGACAAAAGTTAAATAATTATATATTTTTGATCTGTTCATCTATGCAATTGTCCTAGCAATGTCTTAATCAATTACATGGTTTTTGCAATTTCAGATTAAATTTTAATAGTCTTGACATGAAAAGAAAGAAAAAGGTATAAAAAATTTTGTAAAAAATTAAAATAATTAAAATTATCTAGAGGAAATGCTACTTTAGAAAGGAATTTGTTGGCCTGAATTTAGGTTGAAAACACAGGAAACTCTTGAGTTGCTTGACAGTGGGTTGTGTGAACATCTTTAGTAGTCTATTGAGGAAATTGTACAAGTCACACATCTGAAGATTTGAACAAACTCAAGGCATTAGTCAAATCGTTAAAAAAAACCGTTCACTTCTCTTATCACTTAACTAGTTTCACAGTCAACCAGTTCCATTTGCCAGGAGTTTTTCTGGTCAACCTTAAACTGGGAATCAAGCAGGTTAATTCAGGTTCAGATAGGTAGTAAGGGTAGATAACAACTGACCGGTACATGATTCAGTCTGCTTGTGGGTCAAGGAACTGGACTGACCTTTTTAATGGATTGGGTCAAACTGAAATGGTTGGATCGACAAGTTCAAGAATTTATTTCTTTATTTTTCTTTTTGTAAAATATTGAGTGTCTTATGATCTTCTAGTGGCCTGTATGCTTATAAGTTTAGGAAGACTTTGCTTATTCATTTGATAAACATAAGGAAGGGACAAGGATAGAATTGGTTCCTTTCAGCTTTAGTCATAGAACTAGATATTACTCTGCTTTCTATGTTATGATATACAATTCTGTCCTGGAAAGCAGTGATGAATTTCCCAATGAATTAGCACATTTTTGCAGATATGGCCTCCTATAAGCATCAAAGATACGAGTTCTCTTCTCCACTCAAAACTCAAGGAAGCAATAATACAGGTAACTCTCACATTTTTCCTAAATCATGATTACTATATTCTTCATTTTGTACCATGAATGTCTAAATCCCAAGTTTCTAACTTCAAAAAGTGAACTTTCACATGTCTATGTAGGTGGCTTTATCAAGCTTTCACCGTTCATTTTGTTTTTAATTATAATAGAAACTTTTTATTAAATAGTGAACATTCAAGCAGGTGAGGAATTTGTTGGTTTCTATTTGGGACATCAAACTACATTATTGATCTTAATTATGTTGATCATATTTATACGTGGCTAAGTCAATGGACTAGCAGATACCAATCTCTTCAATTGCTATAAGCCTTTTTGGATTTTGCAGAACAATTGTTAGCTGGATAATCTCAGATTTGGATACTTATAATCTTGAATTATCCTATTCAAAATTTCATATTCTGTATTCAAGTTTGTTTTGTCTTACAAAGTATGTTGCCATTTAACTACTATGCTAGTTCAAGCCCCTATATATCATGATATTGTTTTCTGCTATATGTAAACAATGCTATTGTTTTTAGTGTCACTTCTGGCATCTGCCCTTTTTTTTTAACCCAGAAATCAGCACAAGACTTTTCTGTTCTATTTCATTCAAGAGCAGTGTTTATATATGTTATAATCTTCTTTGTTCTTGCTTGTTTCTAGAGCTTTTTTGTCATCTTTCTTGCTTGTTTCTAACTCTTTTACGTCAGCTTATGACACTTTATCTTGCATACAAGTTTTGTTATTCTTATCCTTCTTTTAAATTGCAAAAGGCACAATCAGCGTAAAAATTTCCAATTGTTCGGTTCCTTTCTGATTAAGCTAGGGTCACACTACCTTAAAGGTTATTGGCCTACAAATATAGGAAGAAGCTGTGCCTGTCATGATGCCACTAAAGCATCTGCTTGAACTTATTTAAATCTACCAAATGTATAGGCTAAACAAGAAGCTTCCAATTAATTAGACACATAAGCTATGCCTTCAGGTTCAGTAGGCTAAACAGTCAGGATGGCATAATAGGTGAAAGCGTCTGTCTAGTGAAGTTCAAATGTTCGTGACTACCATATATGCAGCTTAGTAGAGAAGAGAAGATTCAGTATAACAAGAAATATGACTTAAATCTATGAAATGTTAGAAGGATGGTCCAAGAGAACATAGAGATAGGAGCATGAAGTACCATAAAAAGAAGAGGAAGTTGATAGAAGACTGACAAACCAAAATTAAATTCCTCTTTATTTGGTATATTTTTGTTACATCTGTCTCTTTTCGTTAGCTGATTACATTGTTTTCTTCTATAGGACACTGACTGATAAAGAAGCCAACTGAGTCTTTAGTTAATCATCTCCTGAAATAAGACCATCTTATCATCTCTATATTTTAAACTTATTGTAACTAACCCTAAACTTATATACAGAAAGTGCCCATGAAATTGTTTTTATCATGTGCAGAAAATTTGTTTAAAAAAATTATCTTGGGTTAATCTCTATGATTAAGTTGTACTCTTTTAGCTTATATGGGATGCATCACTGACCAAGAGATGATGATGGACAATTACTGAACCTTCATTCATTGAACACCATATCTTCCTCTTTATGCTTTCGCATTAATCAAAAATTATTTTTTGAGTTAAAATTGCATTGTTGCCGGACCTCTTTTAGATGCTTTTATATTTCCTCCAAACATCCTCCAGTTATAATATCATTGTCTTCATGCTCTTGAATTTATTTTGCATTCTGTCTTGTATTGCAGAGTGGACTCGAGAAAAATGTATTTGGAAATCACCTAGTTTCACTTCCTGCAGTAGAGAATCGTGTGCCTCCTCCCGCATTTGCTTCTGACCCACTTGTGCATGTATCTGCCGTTGAAGACACAGAAAAAGGTGGAGCAACTTCGGTTGATCCTGTTGAAGATTCAAGACCAACATTATCTTTGCCAGTGACAGATGATAAGTACTCAGATGAAGTATATAACTCTACTATTGGAGTGGGTTCCTCTAAGCCTATAGAACCAGAGATTGTTGAAGTTGATGGCCCTGATGCTTTAGGAAACCAATTCATGCAAAATCAAGATCACCATCTTGTGAAAAGCACGAGTCTAGTAAGCCTAAGTGATATTTGAGAAATAATAAGCTCTATGTCCAAGTGCTGTGACTTATTTTGTATTTGAAGTTATTCTATGACTTATTCCATTAGTGCAGTGATGATCATGATATTTGATGTGTTGTGTCTGACATACAGCCTGGTGCTACTACAAGAAAGCCTACTTACCATGTCGACAGGCAAATTTCAGAAACATCATACTATGTTGACGATGAAGATGGAACAAACAAAAAGTACACACGGCGGGGTAAGCTATATGTCAGATCCTTTCATTTAGATTTCACTGTTATAAATTGTAAGTGCTAAGAAACTCTACGCATTTTGGTTGCTAAGAAACTCATGATATAGGTTTTTTTGATATTAATTGCAGGTCCAGTTGGTCACAAGTTTCTAAGAATGTTACTACCTTTCTGGTCAAACGCACTGCCTACTCTGCCAGTGACTGCACCACCACGCAAAGAATCTAATGCAAATAGCATTCCAGAAGGAAGAATACGACATCAAAGATCTTCAAGAATGGACCCGAGGAAAATTTTACTTATCATGGCAATCATGTATTTTCTCTGACTTCTCTTACCATATATTTGAAGTTCAATTTTGGTTTTTGGGGCTTTTACACATCTACCTTTCAAAGTTTCAAAATCGTATAATCCAAAATTTAATATAGCATATATATCCCTTTAAATATTTATGTATGTGTGTGTGTGTGTGTATATATATATATATATATAATATATACTCCAAATATTTAGACATTGCATATATATCTCCTGAAATGTTTAATCATTCATTTATGCCATATCAACCACTAATAACAATGGTCACCAATAAGCTTATGAAATATTAAAATTTAATTTCCTAAAATTCCCTTAAATGATTTTGTCAAAAACTTAAAGTTAAAGGGGTAAATAAATACAAAAATTAATAATTTATAGGAATATGGGTAATATTTTTGAATTTTTTTAGTGTCATTGGACATTTCAAGAATAGCATTATGCTAATGATAAACTGATCGAAATTAACTACAATGATATCTATATAAGTTTTTGAATTCTGTAGGAATATATATGCTAAACTTAATTTTTAGGGGAGCAAATACTAAAATCATTTAACTTTGGAGGGATATATGTGAAATTTTCCCCATTTTATTGAACAAAACTTGGAAAGCGTTTTAAATTGAAAAACTACTGCTTCAACAGGAGTCTATGAGTGAGAATTTGAATTTGAATTTGAATTTGACCTGCATAATTTGTTCTCTGATTTACCTGTAGTACTGCTTCAACAGGTGTCTATGGATGAAAATTTGAAGTTGACTTTGCATAATTTGTTCTCTGATTTACGTGTAGGTACCAGGCTTATCAGTTGAATATATATATATATCTCTCCCGAATTAATATATGTGTACGGAGTTTGGAAAGACAGAAACTTTGTTGACATAGAAGTTGAGGACAATTAAATATGTGTCTCTTCTAGTTCTTCTAATATGATTTGTTCTCTATTCAACTCATGAACAACTAAAAAAAACTCTCATGAACAACTGACATTATATGTTTGATAGAGAGCAAAACTTGCAACTTACTGGCTCTCTCATAGATATGGACAGGCTGTTTGTAGTGCTTAGCTACAGATTTCTTGTCCACGACTGTTAGCGTTTATGATTTTGGCATCATATTTTGAAATAATGGTTTCCTCTGAAAATGATAACTTCAAGACTGAGATTTATATGATATCTGTTTTGTGAGCAGGGCATGTATGGCAACAATGGGAATACTGTACTACAGATTGGCACAGCGCAGTCTTGGTGAAAACATACCAGAAGATGAGGCCCAGTAGGTAATGTCTTAGTTTCCCAAACGCTGGTCTATGTGGTGGTCATATATGTAGAATACCAACTTGTCTTTGATACTGCCCATTCCCTTTCTATGAATTTTGCGAGGCATAGCAAACATTCAAATGCTGCAGAGTGTGGTTTTAGGCTTTTAGTATTGACTACGGGTGATGTTTCAAAAACCAATTTTCTTTTGAATCATTTTTTATGAATTCATCTTTGCAATTTATAATCTTTGTGAATCATGTAATTTGTTTTCCTTTTTCTATTGAAGTGTAAGCTCTTCTATCTGGAGATGGTTTTCTGGATGCTCTCCTTTTGGATTTCGTTGTATTGTTTTGTCTTGATTGCTATGATATTGTGGTATTGTGCGAAATGAACTTATAATATTGTTGTTGGTTCCATCCTTAGCGCTGTTTGTCTATGCATTTACAATGATATAAATTTACTCGGGTCAGCCAAATTTAATGTAACGTGAATGGATTAGATGCAGGCACAACTTTTTGAACAATAGGAAAGTTGTAATATCCTAACTGGAGATTGGTTACATCTTTTCTTGCCTTTGATCTTTCTGTCGAAAAATATCTTGAATAAAAAAAAATAACAATTAATATCGTTGATTATTTCTAGTAAAATTTATTAGGTTTTTCTTTATTTCTTTTTGCACCACTGATCTTAGAATATAGTGTTGCAAAAAGAATAAGCTTTAATTCATGAGTAGAATTGTCTTTTCAATAACAAATAATAATTCGGGGGCACTGTAATGCTCTTTCAATTGTTGTGCTGTTGGCCTTACTGATGGCCGACAACATGCGCTCTCCTCTGCCTAAGGTCTCCCTAGTTTCTCCTCCTCTCATTCCTTGAGACAAAGCTCCCAAGCCTTCGATGGCAAGCAACCTCGCCTTCCTCTAATCTTTGCCCCCTCGGGGTTCTTCTGCATCGGTCTCACTATTTCTAATGATCTGGGCTAACCTTTTCAGGGGTTCCTAGAGTAGCAACAGGAGGAGTGGAGTCATTGTGAGGAGGCCCTGCCTCGTATCTAGGAGAGCAGCTCCAAACCTCATTAAGTGACTAGTGCTAGGGAGGATTGGAGACATTGCTATCTATGGTAAGTTCCTAGAGCCATACCCTTCCTCTGGAGCTTCTTCAATCTATCATTCCAAAGATCTGGAAACTCTATAAGGAGTGTAGATTGCGGACATGGCATCGAGGTTATTTTGCTCCAATGTGGATATGACTCCCCGGTTTTCCACTAGAGCTTCTCAACTCCAAAGTCCTCAGTATAATCACTTCCAAGATCCAAAGAATTATTAAAATTGATGAGATTACCCTCTCCGAATCTAGGGGCAAATTTACTAAGTTTGTGTCCTGATCAATTTTGCTAAACTTCTATTTGGAGCTTTTGGAACGATGAGGGTATTTCTCACTTCTTCCAAACCATAGTGTACGAGAACATCCTGAGCATATGTTATCACTATAGCATAGCTAGTTGTGAGGACGATCTTCGGGTCATGGGTTTGGTTCAAACAAAGTTGGTCTGCGTGCCTAGTAAGGCATTCAGGATCAACTCCCAACTATGCTAACCCTGGCTTGTTCTCGGAAGGTGGGGTAAGGAACCAACGCACGGTCCCAGCTTAGAATCTCTCCTCCAATCCTGGTCCAACTTTCAAGGGTAAGACAGTGGAACGTGTATGTAACCCATTTGACTCGAGTCAATTGTCTATGTCTATCTATAAAGGGTCTAGCATTAGAAATTAAGTTTGATCCATCCATCCATGATGACAAAGGATACACTACATAGTGCTCTTGTTGGGAAACCTTGATAAAACATCACGTCCATAGCGAAGATCCATATATTTAAATTTTAAAATTTTCAAAGTAAAATATCTAGTCATCATGTAAAGATTAGTGCGCGAGAAATCGTAAAACCAAAAACTATGCGTATCATGTGAGATGTGTTATCTAGGAAGATCATATATTCCTGAAAAATTTTAGATCCATAGAAGAGGATGAAAGAGGTCAATTATCATATTCTCTAGCAATAATTCATATAGTAGATAAGGCAACGACGCTCCTTAAATTGTGGCACGATATTCCTCTCCACACACACCATAAGGCTGCACCATGATCAAGAATGGATCGATCCTTCTTATTGTCCACGCACCCCAAATAAGGGCTATCGATCGAGGGAGAGAGAAAATAGAGAAGAATAGGAGGGGCGATCAAGAAGAGACTAGCCTATGCTATCTTTTGATCATCCTATTTATAGAGGTTCTTGCCTTTTAACCCTAATAGATCCTGTTCTATCGGATACTGGATCTCTATCCAATTATCTAAGCCTCTTAGATTAGTAGATCTCTATTTGATAATCTCTTATTAGCTCTTATTATATCTCATCCATAAAATCCAATAATATAAGAGTTTATTGGGCATCCAATAAAACAAGAGCTCTAACGGATAACTTATATCTGAATCTCTACTTGTTGCAACACATATCATATGTATGTGATCTTCTAGACCCAATAGCGAGCTGGCCATGAGTTGCATTTATCAAAACTCCTTTTTGACTTATTGAATTATTATAGTCAAAGCTTAGGAAGGCTTTAAACACGTCAAACATTTTAATATGTATGGTTTTAAGATTTTCTTGTACGCTTTTAAGTTTATCGATCTTTTTTATTTACTCAACGAGTATGAATTTTAAGTCTATTATCCTTAATATTAAACAAATTACTAATATGATGAATATATTACTTTCAATCATTTTGATACGTCTCGTAATAATTTTTATATGGTAAGTAACTCTTCTCGTAATGATGCTCCTCCTCTAACTTTTGTAACCATAATTTTTATTAGGCAAAGTGACTCTTCTCATTTTTTTAGTCTTAGAGGCTTCAATCTCCTCTAACTTTTGTAGTCATTTTTTTATATTTAAAAAAAATCATGAATTTAATGACCGATAAGCCCAATCTTGGAACAAACATAAAAAAAACAAGCCAACGACAATAATAGCGGGTCGAATTCTTTTAGATATTTGAGTCTATCCAATCCATTTAGATTTAATTTTGGATTCGTTAATCAGAATGAATTTAAAGTAGGTTTAAAGAGACACTTTCAATTAAAGAAAGAGGCACGTGACATCAACTAAACCGTGATCTCACTCTCCCAATAATTTTATGCTTTCTTAGGCTGACAAATGACAGCTTCCATATATTAATTGCTAATGGCAAGTGATGATGTTAGTTGAGCTAACTGAGAACAGTAAGAGCTGATTTAAAGCTAAATCCACCGTCTAGTGTCGATTAAAGAAGAATACCAACAATACAGAGGTTGTAGATATGATGATGACAACTAAAGCTGCTCATCTTGAATTCCTTACCATGTATCATGAAGGATCTTCTTGCCAAAAAAATATGAACCAAAGCATCAGTATAGCCTATTTTTTTGTGCACCTGCATCCAGCAAATAAAGCAACCCCATTACTGTTTCAGATAATAAAATCAACTAGTCTTTTCTGATAGATGTATATATTACATGACAATCTCATATGACCTGAATTTAACATACCCCATTCTGCTTTAGTGCTTAGAAGACTGTTCTCATGCAGGAGATAGCCATCAAACATGTTCTTGGCATCTAGTCTTGGTAGGCATCTAGATTTGTGGGCATGAAGCATCATCATCCCTTTTGCCTCTTCTCTGGCACCCACAACACAAACTCCCAGAGTCAGCAGCAGCAATGTGGCCAACACCAACACATCAGATTGCACAAAGCACCAGATCTTGTGCTCTGAAAAGAGGAAGAAGACATTAAAATAAGAAGAACTTGTCTCCCCTCTATCCCTGTTCTAGATCATGGGGTTTCAAGAGATCAAATTGTTATTTTATTCAGAGACCCACAGATTCTTCTTCTGAGGTGAGGCCAATAGCACTGCATCCAAAACACCATGTGCAGGATCTTGCACTGTTGCAGAGCCCTTCTGGGGAGATCCTCTTGTGTTTGGATCATGCTCTGTTGTCCCACTAAGATTTGTCCTCTGTTTTGCCTTGATTTAACACCTTGGTTTAATGGATTTACCTATACTCAAGGCAGATAATGGTTTGCTGCTGTCACTGCAATCCTTTTCTATCTGGTATGATGATTGATTGAAGCAAATGACATGAATTCCATCTATCTCACCAATCTAGAACATATATATATATATATATAGGCCTCAATATCCATCTTTTCACCTACAGATATAAATATTGGATCATTGGCTGAACTGATGGATTAGATGATGAGATTATCAATTCAATAATTAAAAATATAATTATATATCATGTCAAAAATAAAAATAAAAACATATAGATAATATTGATGAATTTGGGTTTGAGCCTTGGGAAATGAAAAGAGAGAAGAGAGAGATAGGTGAAGAAGAGGTAAAAACTATATGTATAATGTTCATTCTCCTCTGCTTCACTTGTTTGCTGCAGAAAACAATTTCTCTCATGGGGGCAGAAGTTAAACACAAAGACAAAAATCTCTCATCATCTGTTGTCTAAGTCTAAACAAAGACAAAGATGAACAAAATCTCTTGTACTTCAAACTTACATGCTGTCAGGCTCTCTTGCTGCTCTTCGATGGCTACTCAATCTGGTCTCAAAGACCAGTTCAATGCATTGAAGTTTGTGCCTTAGTTTACAAAAGGAATGCATCAAATTGTTTAGGATAAAAGGAAATAGTTGTTTGTGTTCTACTACAGTATAGGGTTGAGTTAATGATACTGATGTTTGTGATCTAAGGTTAGATTCATATGTTCAATTCATGATCCAATTTTTTAGATTCTGTGCCTATTTAACACCCCAATGACACAAAACAGTATTTAGTTCGAATATTTGTATTTATACCTTTAATTAAATCTATCTATTTCTACATCATTCAATCCAATTCATTTATCAGTAACTTTAATAGCAACCTAATTTTGGTTAATGGAAGAATCCAACCCAAGTCAAATTGCATTGACTTTGAGTTGGAAAAGGGTGTGTTAAGTCCAATCTAACCCAATCTATTATACTTTAAGGCTGCTGAGAATATCTACCCAAGCGAGGGGTAAGAATGTCAATGATAGAAAGACAGGGGAAGCTGAAGCAATGAAGAGGTGCAATAAATGGCGTGTAAAGCAGGGAAGGAGAAGAGAGAGAGAGAGAGAGAGGACGAAGCCACTTGTTTGGCTTGTCCTGTTCATTGGATTCGAAGGATATCGTCTCCTTTTGCTGCTGCTGTTGCGTGTCTATGTTCTCGGGGCGGTGGTGTGTGGGGGTGAGAGAAAGACTGACAGTGGCGCAGAAGGTGCGGGCATGGGAGGGGGCATGATGGACCTCCACCTGCTGGAAGAGTGCCGTCCTTAGAGCCTGAGTACACCTGCTTCTTTCCATGACTTCTTCTCCTGCCATGTCTCACTCTGCCGCTGTTGCCGCTGTTCTTGTTTGATGTTGATGGCACTTCATGGTGGGTTATGGCAAGCTCATTCTTGTTGATCTGAGTTTCTCTGTTTTGGCTGTTGAGCCCGTTCCCATCTCTATTGCTTGTGGTTTCTTTTCAGCGACTGCTGTCTATCTATCCAAGAACATAAACTGCTTGCACATCATCTTCCTTTGTCTTCTTTACGTTGAGAGTTCAGGCGATTCAGCTCGGTCTTCTCCGTTCTTCTTGCTCCAAAAGCTGGCTGCATATTATATTCAAACCTTTCTAGCTTTTAGTACCACGTTCAAGCCTTATAGTACCAAGTGCATGCAACATCACATGCCTTCCTGGCTCTAATGCAACTATTCCATATGCTTTTTCATGTGGATTTTTGCAACTTGGCAAGATTCCTTCACCAGAGCAGTTGTCATGGCATCCTTGAACTCCTCATTGTTTTTTTATGGGGGAAAAAAAAGGAAGAAAAAGATTCTCTCTGTCTGCGGTTTCATAGTTCCACTTCCTCCTCACATAGAGGTGCTGTCATGGCGTCGCAGGTGATTCGATCCCAACGACTGAAGCAGCTTGATTCGAGGAACATGGCTTCAGTCGCCAGATCTTAACGACCTTTCAAGCAAAGCTTCGGAGAGCCACCACCACCATTATCAAATAGAGGGAAGGGTGCTGGTGTCTCCTCTGCCGGACCAAGTTGCGCCAGGTTGCGTGAGCTCTGCCATGGAGCTGGGGAACAGCAAGGCCTCTCCCTTAGACCGCATCTCTTGGTTGCTTGCTCGACCAAGTGGGAGGGAAAGGGAAATGGCTGTGTCAACTTATTGATCCTTTCCTGATCTGCTCTGTTCTGCAACACTCTGCTTATTTAATTATTGCTGTTGCAGACTCACAAGGGCTGGAATACTCAGTCTTCTTCCTCCTACAGTAGGTCCACGCATGATGCTCTGAGAGCACCTGACACACTTGTTTATAAGAGTTGCCGTTCCTTAGATGCAAGGAATGCAGGGTGGCATCAGTTGAGCAGAAGTGTAGAGGAGAGGGTGCATTCTTTTTGTTCCAGGATGAAGTTTATGAAGCTCGGATCAAAGCCAGATTCATTTAAGAGTGATGGGAAGGATATCAGGTATTAGATACCTCTTTTTATTTTTACATTGATATGGGATTTTTATGTTTCTTTTAGAGTGCTATACATTGTCTGCATTATGCTTTTTGCACTTTGTTTTTTTCCTCCTTGTCTGCATTTTCTCAAACATTATGTGGAAACATTCATTTTTTCCCTTTTCCTTTGCTACTGACTGGTTGTGGATATAGATTACTTCTTAATGGCCATTGTTTGACCAAAATCTTAGTAATAAGATAGATTTAGGTAGGAATATGTGCCTTACCCAACTCTTAGTGGTAAGCACAAATAATGGATTTTAACATATCAGGGCTATTTGATTTATAATTACCACTAAAGGTTCACAAAAATGCCTATTTTGCCTTTTCTCATTCAGGTTTTGCAGCAAGCATCAGTAAGTCTGCTTTCTGCAACATTTCCTGTTCAGCTAATTAAGACAAAATTGATCTTTTGTTTGTGAAGGCCATTTATTCTTAGTGTCTCTCCCAAGTTTTTCATCAAAGCATAATACATCTGCAATTTTGTTTTGTTGTATCATTCATATGGTATAGTTGATGCTTCTTTGTTTTAAATCAGATGTGGCATCCCTCATAAATATTATGGGATCTGTTGTCAGTGAATCTGATATTGCACAACTTACTATTAGTTTTCAAATATTTATTCAATTTCTCCTATGTACAAATTAGATAGCGGAAAGTATTGGTGTTCTCAAGCCACATGTCTTTTATATATGATACAAAAATTTATGCAATATTAGTGATCTCTTGCGCCCTTGCGTTTGTCTTGCTTCCTTTTCCATGCTTCACATAATAAGGTTCTAAAGAAGCTATCTTGGTGGTATCATAACTTTTGATGCATTTTCCTCTACGAAGAGCCAGATACCTTACCAATCTTGATGATTTTGTATTGATATGATACCAATCTAAGAATATATAAGATAAGTTGGGCTGGTTTGTATTAATATGCTTCACATGATAGGACAATAATGGAAGAGTAACATTATAAGTGTGAACTTTTTTGTTGATAGTTGCTTCTTCTTCTTCTTATTTTACCTTTACTAACATAAAACTTTCCTTAAAGTTGATTAAACATTTCATTAATCGGTAATAATACCTGTTGGTAACAAATTCCAAGTTTGATCCCTGTACAATCATCTCCCATGATTTAATGGTTAGTCATCCCTGGTCTATGTTTTCTGAGTTTCCTATTAGTATCCTATATATGTTGTTTCCTGGATTATTTTATAAATTTTCATTTAGATTTTTTTTTTCTTCTTCTTCTTCTGGTGGTGGATGCCTATCCAAATTTCACTCTATCATTCTCTTTGCTTACATCATTTTTTTGTGTCACATGGATTTAAATAGGCGAAGGAAAACTAGTTAGACTTTGGATAAACAATGTCATACTGTCAACAGATCGAAACATTTTGATATACATTTAGACACATGAGCGTGAAGTGAGATACAGTTATGCTTCATGTTTATAACCATATGGAAAATGCTCGCCAACTTAGGCTATTATCCAATTTAGAACTCGCGTCTCACTTGGTCAGGAACAAAGGGAATTCTCTGAACTTTGAACTAGGTTTAGCTGATGCTTGTGTGTAGAAATAATACTCCACTACTGTTTCTTGCACTAAATAGAACGATTGACTAATGCTTCATTTACAAAATCTAACGGAGCACATTCTTTTCTGATAGCTTTTGATTTTGCAAGTGATGTTTGTTCAATCTGTTGCTGAATTCCCTTTCCAATTTTACTTAGCTGCTGTAATGGTATCTCCTAATGCGTTGAGAAAAAAATGTGATTATACTTGTGCTTTTCGTTACCTATGTCAAAATATCTTCTATCATGATATAAAAAGGACTTGCTTATCTTTGCAGGTTTGTAGCAACCGACCTGGCAGCCGATATCATCATCCATGTGGGCAATATCAAATTCCATTTGCATAAGGTACTAACACTTTCTTCCAAAGAGTAGCAGTAGAGGTTGGACATCATCACCCATCGTGATTACTCAACATTGCTCCTGAGATGTTTGCATTTGGTGTTGAACTAATTATTATATAATAATACCCAGTAAGATTTCAAGTTTAGCATAATCATTACCTGGTAACATTAGGATCAATGATCCAGTCATCATCAAGAAGTGTGGGTGGTATAAATTTTCATGTAATGCTGGATTACTTGTCACCCATTTCAAGTAACTTTTTCATTGTAAATAAATAAATATAAATGAATGCTTGCTTGCCTTATATCTTTAGTGCTAATTATGCTTTTCTTCAAGTCTAGGACACCATTAATATAATTAGAGATTTACAATACTGTAAAATGATGCCATCAGCATTTCATTTGAAAGAAAAAAATCACCCACTATTCTTAATCATTCGTGTTTGCTTTTGTAGTTCTTCTGGTTTAATTGCTTTTATTTGCTCTTCCAACTTCTAATTACAATGGTTGGATTTTCTTTACCAACTGAACATGCAGTTTCCCCTGTTGTCCAAGAGTTACTACATGCAGAAGTTGCTGATGACTACAAACAACGAAGCAACTGATGAGATTTGCATTTCAGATATTCCTGGCGGTGTTGCTGCATTTGAAATTTGTGCCAAATTTTGCTATGGTATGACCGTGACACTCAATGCTCACAATGTGATTGCTGCTCGATGTGCCGCTGAGTACTTAGAAATGCACGAAACTGTCGAGAAAGGGAACCTTATCTACAAAATTGAAGTCTTCCTCAGAGCTAGCATTTTCCATGGCTGGAAAGATTCAATCATAGTTCTCCAGACTACAAGGTCTCTTTTGCCATGGGCTGAAGACTTGAAGTTGATTAGCCACTGCATAGACTCTGTAGCCTCCAAGGCATCCACTGATGCTTCCAAAGTTGAATGGTCATATACCTATAACAGGAAGAAGCTTCCATCTGAAAACGGTCCCAATGAACAACAATGGAACGGAGTCAGGAAGGAAAATTCAGTGCCTAAGGACTGGTGGGTTGAGGACTTATGTGAACTTGAAATGGACTTCTTTAAGAGGATCATAGTGGCCATCAAAGCCAAGGGGAGAGTCTCTTCTGAAGTTATCGGGGAAGCACTGAAAGCTTATACATACAAGAGGTTCACAAGTTTGGGCAAAGGACCTGCGAGAAATGGCATTGATGCCACAAAGAGCTCGTCATGGCTGGAGACTATCATTTCGTTGTTGCCGTCAGAAAAGGGTTCTGTTTCATGCAGTTTCCTTCTGAAGTTACTAAGAGCTGAAAGCTTACTGAATTGTGGTGAAACTTGCAAGAAGGAACTCGTGAAGCGAATAGGCCGCCAGTTAGAGGATGCTTCAGTCTCCGATCTTTTAATTCATACTACTTCGGAGAAGACAGTATATAATGTTGACACCGTGTTCAATATAGTGGAAGAATTCATAATGCAGGCCGACAACGAAGATCATCCCGGTCCAACCGCAACCGACGAGACAGCTCTGGCTTCAGGGAGCTCCAAGATCTCTGTAGCCAAGCTGGTTGATAACTATCTTGCTGAGATTGCAAAAGACCCTAATTTACCTCTTTCCAAGTTCATTGATCTTGCTGAACTTGTTCCGAGTGATTCAAGACCTGTACACGATGGGCTTTATCGTGCCATCGATACTTATCTCAAGGTACTTTTTTGGGTTAGACGGTGTGATTGCGAAGTTTAGATTTGTCTCTTTGGATTAAACTATAATGCTGATGCATGGTCTTGTTGTTCTCGTTTATGTTACGAGCAGGAACATCCAGGCCTTAGCAAGAGCGAGAGAAGAAAGCTATGCAGCCTGATGGACTGCAAGAAGCTCTCGGTGGATGCTTGCGCACATGCTGTACAAAACGAGCACCTTCCGTTGCGGTCGGTGGTGCAGGTCCTTTACTTCGAGCAGATGCGGGTATCGACTTCCGCCGCCAGCCGTGCTGAGAGTGGTGGTTCATACGGGAGCTCGAGGTCGGCCATCACAACCAACACTGAGGATGACTGCGACGGCGTCGCAACTGGGGACCTGAATTCTGTGAAGGGACATGAATGTAGCAGGAGCAGTGACAGCAAGGTGAAAGGCACGACAACGCCGAAGAAGATGCTTCGGAATCTAATATCGAACAAAGCGCAGGCTGGGGAGAGCAGTAGCTCCTCCGACACATCTGGAAGTCCAAACTCAGCTAATCCGGAGAAGGAGAAGCCCAAGTCGACCCGTTGAAGGAACATCGTCGGAGAGAGGCACTGCTGCTGATGTCTTTCTTGGTTTGATGAACCACCAGAACCAGTTTTACATGCACAACCGAGTAATCAAAGTACAATTTTCATGAAGATCGAAATGCGAATGCTTAATTCTGGGAAACTCTTGTTCTCTTGCTGTACATCGAGCAGGAATTAGCATAGACTGGAACACTTGATTGTACTGAAATCCATATGAAATTTGGCAGTCAAGAAACCCATAACTTGTAGTTATGTAATGCAACTCAGCTTTGAGATGTGAGAATGACTCTTGGAAAGAGAGAAGAAGAGTTTGCTCATAATAGGAATGGAAATTACAAGCGTCAGGGTAACCACTAGCCATCTTTCTCTATGTGACCATATAATTGAGTTGCAGATACCCAAAGAGGGCAACTCGGAGACACCGATGAAGATGATCGAGGAGAAGGTGAGCAATTATTCATCATCTTACGATGCTACCTTTGACTTTCTTAGCAAAGATCATCTGCAGCTGCTCTTCCCATTGCACGAGGAATCAGAGTGATCTCTAAAGTTTGTCTTCCTCATCAACACAAGAAGATGGAGCACGACGATTTCCATGGACTTCGCACGCATTGATGCCAAGGAAATGGTGGGTGCGAATGAGGTAGTCGAGGGTTTTTAGTCCCACATCGGTCAAGCGACTATGCAGGCGGGGTCATATCTCTATATAAAGAAACGAGTGTCGACCCTCGAAAGCCACGCAGCTGCGTGGTGAGCGCAGAGCGAACTATTCTTTCGCCTTTTACTAAAGAATACCGTGTGCACGCCACATAAAGCAGCATACGCCAATTTTTGGAGGGTCCCGTCTTTAACGAGGTGGGCCCCAACAAATCATACAGAAAATTTCTTGACCTTAGAGCCGTGTATACATATTTTGAGCTGAGGGATATTTTTTATTAGCAAAATTATATAAATAATGTTATTCTTATGTAATGACAATATTTTATGAAATTGGAAAGTTTGTTTCTTAAAAAATGCTTAAAATATTGAAATATTCTTGAATTTATACTTGCTATAAGAAATTTGATTTTTAATAAGGATAATTTATTTTTTGCTCATTTATCTTCATGTTTATGCTTCGTCCAATGTATTTTACTACATTATTATTTTTAAAAAAATATTAGCGATCTATCAACCAACCAATTCCTATTTTTCTATCCGTATTTTTTTAAAAAAAATTAAGCAAATTAAATATACACAATTACTAAAAAAAAAGCTCCTCTCTCTTCTTTGAAACGGTAAAAGGATCGCTACCGAATCAAATAGTATATATTATGCGATTCGAACGAGTCTCAACCTCCGTCTTTTATCTACTCCCACATATTCGATAAACATACTCCCTATTTTCCTTTCTTTTCGGTCCGCTCCAATCGTTTCGGATTCTAATAAAAGAAGCCTATGCTTATCCACTTGTCGACACAAATAGCGATCCGCCCACCTCTCTCGGCGTCCCCGAGTCCATTCACGACCGTCCAGATCAAATCCAACGGACTCGAACGGATGGTCACCTTATGCAATATATTGTTCGTGGTACCACCTCCGAGGAAAAAGGTTGCCGTCTATTCGGTTGGGGCTTCTTCTCGATCCGAACCGTGCTTCGATTTCGAGGAGGATCGAATGGCGACGACTTTCGATCGGTGGGAGAAGGATCCTTTCTTCGCCGCCGCGGAGGAAGTCCAGGATTCCGCTGACCGGTGAGGAATTTGAGCATTTTTGTTCCTTTTTAGGGTTTTCTCTGCCCATTTTTGTTTATGGTGATGTGATCGAGTTATAGGGTTTTCTTTCGACTTCGATTCGTAGGCTGGAATCCGTTTACAGGCAATGGACCTATACGCGAGAGAGCGCGTCGAAATCCGCTGGCAGAGACGAACCCGTCTCCGGCGAGCTGAAAAGGGAACTTCACACAGCTCTTGGCACCGCAAAATGGCAGGTGATATCCGATTCTCTTTTCCTTGTCGTTTGATTTTATCGAAGTCTCCTATTTTAATCGCTCGCTAGGGTGTTGCGTTTGAGAAGATTGTTCAAAATCGGATTTTGATCGTCCGTGTTTTGATTCTCAGCTTGAAGAGTTCGAAAAGGCTGTGAGATCAAATGATGAGGCATTGTCGGTTGGGGAAGATACGAGAGCTCGACATAGCGAATTTATGTTGGCAATTGGAAGTAGGATCTCGGCGCTGGAGAATTCTTTGAGGGAAACGAACTTCAAGGCAGGGGAGGGCTCCCTGACATGGGTTCGATTGGACGAAGGGGAAAATGATGAACTTGCACAATTCTTGTCCTATACATCGTTGGAGGATAGGAAGGAGATTCCAATTGCATCGGCCATCGATGTGAAAGTTGGGAATGATTTAATCAGGACGAATGGGGAGGCTTTGATCGACTGTTCAAAGGATTCTCGTCACTCAAAGCAGTTGAGTTCCTTGCATAGAGAGGATCAGAAAGTTCATAATATCCATAGATCAGCTAGCTGTGCTGGTGATATTGGGGCTTGCGCCATCACAATTCCTAGTGAAGGTGAAGATACTTCTGAAAGATCATCAGATGATCGGTCTAATCTCCCACCCCCACGGGTACTCAGCTTATCTGGCCTCTCCAGTGCATTAGATTCAACATCAAGGATGAGATGGTACAAGAATGGATTTAAGAAATGGTCAGCTCAGGACCGACATGATGTGATGGAATCCATTCCCTTGAGAAATTATGAACCAAGTCAGGTGATAAACTTTTATTTTTCATTTCTTCATGTCATTTTTTCAAGATTTGAATTACTTTCTATGGTAGTTGTAAGTTTTCTTTAACATTTTCCTTTTTGTTGTTGCCATAGGGAATCAATGGATGCTATGAAAGAAGTAAGAGCTGCTTAAGTAGTCGTGGACAGGATGTATATAATAAGCATCTTTATGGGTATCTTGGAGCTTTCCAGAGGCTACTTCGAAGGTCTCAGTATCAGATCCAATATGGTCACCATATCAAAACAATTCTTTGGGCTACTCTTGTTGTTTTGTTGATTGGTGAGATGCTTTTCTATTATAATTCGTGTTTTTAATTGCATTAATGATGTCAAGGAGTGCATTTTCTTTCTCAAGTTGTTTGAAGCGATGCATTTGAACTTAAATAATAAAGTAAGATTTCATCTAGTTCATGTTGGCAGGAATTTCCACTAGTTTACAATTGATCCACCATTATTATCAGCATTATATGGGCCAAGTTTATGAAGGAATTTTGTTCATGTGTTACCACATGGATGTCTATGTATATAGCGAGGAACAGTATCCATTAACTAAAAGAGGGGAATTACCAACTAGGTTGGATACACATACATATGCATGTGCACACAATATTTTTAAAAAATAGTCATTTATTGCGAAGGATGTTGTTAGAAATACAAAAATATTGGTTACTACAATGCATAACACTAGGTATTGCAGGATTTGTATCTTGATATATCATCAGATCATATAGTTAATGGTAGTTAGTGAAGGAAACATATACATTCACCTTGTTGGAAGTATTGGTCTAATATGTAAATCCTACATGCGGGAAAACATGAATTGATTTTTGTATTACATGAATAAGAATGAAAAAAAAATGGGGTTCTTGTTTTGTAGAGTTTTTGTTCATATGCATGATTGTGTATGATCCATCTAGGCTAATTAAATATTGGCTCTTTTCAGTAGCATAAACTGAGTTATGTTGTGTGTCTATGCAAAAGTAGATCCAGTGAGTAATTTTCTTTTCATCTTATCAGAAGCTTCTTCTGGTTGTATCCTTACCATTTTAACTTAAACCTGCAGTTATTTTTGTGCTGCATTTAAACAAGTAAAATTTTCCCGTCAGTATCAGACTCTGTGAGATGCAATTGTTTGAGCGGCTTTCAGGTACGTTCACATCTTCTCATACACCTGCAGTCACATATGCACACTATTCGGCATAGTACCATGATGTTGCTCGGATAAACCGAGGGTTAGATAACAAAGATCATGAAGCATAGAGAAACCAAATGGCATATCACTGTTGAAGACGATACAAAATGAACCTGCATGCTTGTTTCTCATCTCATCACAATTTAGATAAAGCAACACTGTAAATAATGCCTTAAAATCATCATCTGACCTGTACAGCATTTGGTAATCCAGGAAGCATGAAAAGAAAAAAGGACCGCGTTGAATAAAAGTTTTTTAAGGATCAATTATCAGAAATTTTGATTTTCATTATTGTCGATGTTACTAGCTTTGTTCAAACTGCTAATATCCCTAATATTTTTGCTGTATTATGTGGTTCTGTAGGTCTCCATTTACATGCATTTCATATATAGTTGGCTCTTCTCTCCTAGAAACATGCTTTTGTACTTTGCAGTGGATTAATAGCACAATCTGCTTTCTTTTAAAAGGGATGTAGCAGAATGTGCTGACTGTTGTAGTCAAATATTCTGAAGATGCTAGGCACTGAAACATGCCTTTGTACTTTGCAATGGATTAAGAGCACAACTTGCTTTCTTTTAGCAGAACGTGCTGACTGTTGTAGTCAAATATTCTGAGGATGCTGGGCACTGGAATACGGAAGAGCTTTTGTAATGCCCAATGAAGCCCTTTGGCTTAAGTTTATCATGAAAGAAATCTTAAAGGCAGGCAGGAGGAACAGCTCATCAGAGAATGACACCATTGCAAATTGCAGAAAACAGACATTTTCTTCAAAATGGATTTTCTGCCTTCTGAAGGTGGAATATTGTGGTAGTAAAACTTTTATGTTCTTGCCTTACAAGCTACTCTTTACTAATTACTATTCAACTGAAATGAAGCAAAAGAGACATGTCATGATCGATTGCCTCTGATCCAAGTTGAGACAATTGACCTGGCAGTCTCCAAGAATTTCACATCTTTGACATGGGGCGCCGACACAGAGGGGTTCTTTTCACAGAGGCCACTGGTACTACGTGGAGGGTAGAATTTGAGGAACACCGAAGATACCAAGGGGAATTTATCATTTGATTTTTTTTGTGAATATATCGGCCTACTTTTTAGTTATGTTGTGTGCTGTATTGTTCTTTAGATCTATCATACATGGATGATAAACTACTTTTGTTCATTGTGTATGAATTGTGGATATCAGACTTGGCACCATGACATTTGCTATTATGTGTTTTTATAATGTATATGACAGATGATCAAGTAAGTAATGCAGGGTGATTACAAATTTAATAATTCTTCTGATGCTTGTACAGGGACTTAAAAAACTAGAATTATCTCCTCAAAATGAAAAGGAGAATTAACCATTAGGCCATACTCTGCTTAAAAAACATATCATG